AACAAGAATTCGTGTTGTTCTTCAAATAGGATACGCCAGTGCGCGCCGATTTCGCTCGATCTTCCATCGGAGCGTCATTCTCTTTGCTCGACGGGCAGAAAGGTTGGCAAAAGATAAAATACCGAGGAATTCCGTTCGTAACGAACCGTTAAACTGCTTCCTCCGGTCGATAAGTGACTTCTCTGATCGACTCTCTTCCGTCTCATCGCTACCATTATCTTCGATCTTGCGCGGAATTCGGCACAGCCCCGCGAGTCACCTTCCTTCACGTCACGGTTATGAGAGACGCGGTGTCGAAATTTCCTCCGCCGACGCGTTTTTATATTTCCTTTAACACTGGGCTCGCAGTCATTTATTGTACAGTTTATTCTATTACTCCTAGAACTGATGTTCGTTCATTTAGGTCTTGGCGATTAGAAGTTTAAAAATATGTAGACAATTAAGATAAATATTCATGTAATTGCATTAATCAGAATTACTCTATAACATCTTAATGAGACGTTCGACAAGAGTTCCACGTTTAATTTCGCAAGCCTGGAATATTTTCAAGTATTGGCCATCGAAATGCTGTAAGATTTTTCTGTTATCGATGCCCCATGTTCAAAATAAATTCATAAACTCATTTTAAAGTTCATATTTTTCATAGAATTACCGTTGGTGAACAATTTTTCCACCGACGGAAGCAAATTCGAAAGGAAGAATCCAACATGCGTACACTTGAAATAGAACGTGGTATTTAGTTGAACGACGATTGATCTCTGGTTTAGAAATCACACCGCGTTCCCGATCATTGAAACTTTCTAATAGATTCTGTTATTAAGTTCTACCGTTTCGCTGCTTAATGGCAGCGCGAACCTAACTCATCGGCCACATAAATTTCAATAGATTCCTGGATAGTATCGCGTGATCGGGTATCATTTGCCCGGTATGGCGCCCAAAACGCGATGAACTTCGTGAACTTCGTATAAGATCGAAGATAATGGCAGCGATGAGACGGAAGAACGATTGAAACGATCTAACGTTTTAACTTTCGATTTGCGGGGCTGAGACTGGTAGCCGTCGTATTTTATTCAACTAGGATTTTCCATCGACAAAATGTTCTTATAAATCCACCGGCCACCTAGAAACTATCATGATCAACGCTTGCTTCCGAGAACATAAAATATCCCCCTAGTCGTCTGTTCAACGTGACTAGACCAAGTTTCTTGCTAGTCGGATATCTCTTAATTCAATTCGCGGCTAGCGGAATAACTTTTGAAAATGATTAAAGGTCACAATGGGTTAAGGAAGATTTGACTTCATAGTCATTAGGGACCTGTAATAGCCCATAAGTCTCCGTGGTCGCTTCCAGAGATTACCCAGCTCTTTCGAAGATCATCACTCTTGAAGATTTGCTGGTTACCTATCGAAAAATCCTCGGGAAACCTCCGAGATTATTATTTAACAGAGAATTAATTTTGTTTTTCGATTTCATTGATACACAGATATACAGCAATCTTCAGTGATAGTCCTACCTTATAGTCATAGTAATCTCTGCAATAGTCCCTAAGCAATACTTAGCCTATGATACTCAGTATAATTTAACGATTTAGGATTGCATAACAAACCATTAACCCTTTACACTCGAATCTTTTACACTAGAAATACTCAACATTCTCCGACGAGATAGAAATATCTTTTAAAACTAACGTAACGATAAGTCACACGTAAATTAGGACGAACAAAGCTATTTTATTCCACTGTACTTAGTTTAATATTAAACATCAAGCTTTACAATTCTTCTATATCAAATCAAGTAGCTGAAAGTAACTTCTCCAGCCTGAAGAGTTCATTTTCAACGGCTTCAAGTAAACAACGTAAGTGCTCAATCTTAAGCGGGACATTCCAACGATTCACTGTCCCACAGTGAAAACGTTCAAATCATCAATTTCAATCATCCACGAACACCGGTGTATCCGCGGCCACGGGCTCCTCAAGGGTGCCCGCAACTAATAGGAATGTTAAACGTCAATCAAAGCAGAGGCACGTCGGCCGCGGTAACCGGAAACGGCGTCTCGTGGCACGTGGGAGCGCGGGGCCCGTAATAGGATGCAATTTAGAAACGGTCGAAACAGACAATACCGCGTCCTTCGAAGCGTAAATCATGCGGCTGCGGGCCCGGGGAGGCTGCGGGAGGAAAATGGAGGATAGAAGTACATATCTTAATTACAATATTCCCACGGGCTGAGCACAGAACTCTTGCCCGGTTCGCCGGCTATCCCTTAGCCTTTCCGCCAGGAGCCGGTAGGAATTTAATTAATTTGCCAGTGGCAAGCAGGCTTGCTCCTTGTCGCCGCTCTGAAATATTGTATCCGTCCCACCCTTTAAAACCCAACACCAACCCTCGAGCACGGCGTATCGCCTTTGCTCTTCGCTACCCAGCCTCCCGTTTGCCACCCGCTAGCCCTTCCCGCAGCTCTTGACGACCCGTTGGCTCGTGTTCTTGCAACGCTGGGCGCACACGCCGTCCAGGACACCTTGCTTGTTCGGATATTATTGAATTTCACTTAGATATTGACACGCGAGCACATCCCGCTCCCTGTCGGGTACGAGACTCGGACACTCGATTATCGTGTACCCGGCTGGGACGAGTAGGTTCGCCGTGTGGACGATGGGTCGCGTGGTAACTGGCAAGAAAATGCCGGGTTTATAACCTCTTTAGGTTGAAGGCGATCCGTAGACTGCGGATATTTATAAATTTATGGGAAATTTCAAACGAAATTGTACAGCGTGCATGAGATATAAGGGAATATATATGAAATATTCGGATCGCAGTGTTTATCGTAGGAGTTTTTAAGGAAATATATTTTCGATTGTAATCTTATTTTTCTGATTGCGTTCTTGAACGTTTGAATTTGCATGTGGATCCAGAGAAACCATTATTGCATTCATGTTGGACCCTCTGAAGAGTAGACAATTTTACTGGAGTGTTGCCACTTTAAACCGTTTGGGGTTGGATCATCGATTAATGGAACTTTTGTAGAAAAAATGCTAATAGAGGAATTGTGTTTGAGGTGTACGGATGTGATGTGAAATAAATTTGATTCTTTATCGTGGCTTGAACGTAACCCAGATTTCTCTTTCATTCGAGCTTCAGACAATGAGCACGTAGTTCGAATTCAGCGCAACCGTTTTGAATTCAGCTCTACTTGACAGATGTCACGACATTTTGTTTCAATGAAAACGAATTTTCGCCACGATTATTTAACCGCGAGGGGATCGTTTTGTTTGCGTAGACGGTAGACAGAAGAAAATGAGATTCAGGGGGAAGCAAAGCTGCACCGGATGGGGAAGGGTAATTCTATTTCGTGTATGGAACAATATGATAGAACGGTTAAACAATGTTACCCTAGAATTAATATTGCGTGCCAGCGAGGCATAAGCGTCGTCTGCGACCCAGTACCTAGTACTCAAGCGCTTTTTCTTTATTCAATTTAAAACACGGCAAGGGCTCCGTTATCCGAATAATTGTCCGATCACTTCTGCATAAACTATTTAACCAGTCAGTTGCGTTGCCCTCTTTCGAAAGCGTGTATTTAAATTATGTATTGCGTATGGAGTTTTAACGGCGTAACTTTATACGTGACGAATATACCTTTCGTTCATAGCTAACCGGTTAAAGAAGTAAATCGTTTCAAATTAACGAA